GAACTATAAAAATACAAAATATTCTCTAAAAGAAAGTCATGAAATTTTGAACCATGAAAAACATTTCATTTGCTTCTAAGATGTACCTGCAGAACAGTCACTCTGTGATGAGAAAAGAGAACAGCAGCTAATTTTGATGGGAGCATTTTGACAGAAGTTGGTACAACAAGCAGAGAGGCACCACTTGATAAAGCAACAAATATTTCCACAACAGAAGGATCAAAAGTCAGAGGTGATGCCAGAAACAAAACATCTTCAGGTGTTACCTTAAAAATGATCCTAAAAGAAAACAGAATATAGTCATGAAAAATGTGTAACATTTACAACCACACATCTTTTAACAGAGTTAAGTTATGACTATGGAGTTTATGTGCATTAGCCAGATTTCATCCTCCTACAAAGTGCTGTCAAGTTGGTTCCGACTCAGTTTCCAAGGAGCAGCTGGTGGGTTTCAACTGCCAACCTTGTGGTTCAAAGTCCAGTGCTGATCCTACAGTGTCAGACCAGGGGTCCAAGGCAGATTTTCATTCTTCTCTTTTAGATTCACCAAAACAATGAAGTTATTTAAAACAGTACCCACTTTTTAATGTGACATAATTTGTTAGCTGCAACAGTTTGCTGGTTGTTATTTTTTTTAAAAAACTTTTTATTGTGAACTGAGTGAAGATTTTCAGAGCAGATGATCAGTTCTACATTCAACAAATCATAGACTTTGCTTCATCTCGACTGTAATCCCAGGATATAACACCATTTATCCTACTTCCTCCCCGTGTTTGTTTCCATTCCTCCTTTTCCCACCCTTCTAAACTTTGTCCTTAGGTAGATATCGCCCTTTTGATCTCAAATGATTAACCATCAGTTCTATGGTATGCATACATACCTCAGCATTGTTGATGTTCGCTCTACATACCTATCTATTGCTTGGCTGAAAATTCAGCCACAGGGGCAAGTTCAGTTCCAGACCTGAATGGTGACCAGGGGCAATAGACTCAGAGTTCTACCACCAGTCTTTATCTGACCTGTAAGTCTGGCCTTTTTAGTAATTTTGCATTTTGTTCTACATTTTCTCCCATTCTATCCAGGACTTTCTAATGTGTCCATTTCAGAGCAGTTGGTAGTAACAGGCACCATCTAGTTCTTCTAGTCTCAAGGTCATAGAGATTGATGTTCACATAGTTCATTAATCCATTGGACTAAATGTTTTCAAGTGTCTTCTATTTTTTTCAGTCTTTTTTCCTCCCGACAGGAAGAGATCAATAGTTGCCCCTTAGATGGCTGTTAGATGGCTGTTGATGAATTTTTAAGATTTCAGTTGCTACTCACTTAAGGAGGATATAGAACATCTTTTTTTGTGGATTATATTATGCCAATTGACCATGGTGTCCTCCAAGACTATGGTCCTGAGCCCCCAGGCCCAGTGACTCATTCCCTCAAGGTATCTGGTCATATCTAAGAAGTTTCCATAATTTTGCCCCATGTATGCTCAACCACATTCATGGGTATATTTGTAGCAAAAGTAAACATCTATGTACAAATATCCTATCAAACCTTTATATATTTGTGAATATATTCCCACTCCCTCCCACACATGTTCAGCTTATGTATTTGTAATAGTTTGGGTGTTTTTTTTTAATGTTTTTATTGTGAATTGAGCAAAAGTTTACAGGGCAGATCATCAATTTTACATTCAACAAATCACACATCTTGTTTCATTACAGTGATTATAATCCCCTCCATGTACCATCAGTTAACAGTATTTCTCTCTATTCATTTTAGCTTTTTTTTAAAAAAAAAAAAAAAAACACTCAGGCATATATAATAATTTACACCACCAGAGAGTCTGTAAGTTTTTGATGTGTCAGCCTGACAGGACTGAATTACAATCTACTGAGTTCCTTTTCTAATCTGTCTCCCATTACCCACCCCACCCACTGTCATCAAATTGATTCTGACTCAGCCACCCAGGGTTTCAGAGGCTGTAAACCTTTAGGGGAGCAGAAAGCCTCCTCTTTCTCCTGAGGAGTGCCTGGTGGACTCCAGCTGCTGACTTGCAGTTAGCAGTCAATGTATAACTCGCTCCGCCACCTGGGCTCCCAATGTTCCCCATTTGGGTGGGCTATAAAAAATACTCCCATAAGAGCTGGAGAGGCAGAGGCCACTTTGTAGCATACACACAGCTTCTACAAGTTTTTCCATCAAACACTAATTAACAGCTGCTGTGAAGAGATGTTGCTGATTAATGATGTCACTAATCAGTTGGTTTTAAATTAATAGAGGTTATTTTGAGTTGGCCTGATTTGCTTAATCAGCAAGCTTACATGCCTGCTCATGTGTTACCTTTGAGTTTCAGTATTGGAGGGGGGTTTCTCCTGAAGGGACTTGATTGCTTGCACTGATGGCTCCTCAAAGGGGTAATCGTGATAGATTTTCTTGAAGCACACAGGACAATCATTGGGGCTTACTAGGAAAAACTCTTAAGAAAACTGAAAACTACAATGGTGAGAAAAAGGTCACGATAGTTGTGCTAAGGAATTTTTCCATCACAGCAATGCACCTGCTCACTCTCCAAGGGCACAAGGGCTGTCTTATGAGAATTTCACTGGGAAACTTTACCCCACCAACCCTACAGCCCTGATCTTGCCCCTTCAGACTTATTGTTTTCCAAACTCAAAGAATATTTCAAAAGAACACGATTTGAGTCCGTTAAGGATGCCAAAATTGCCATTTTGATGTGGTGTAAACTGAAGAGTGCAGAATTCT